CTTAAATCTAGACAACCAAAAAAATCAAGTCCTGATGTATAGCCATTGCCAATTTCAGAGTTTTAAATGTTCATACTGAAAATTTAACATTTGGCTCTTGCAGGCTGGAGCTGGCTAAAGTATACGCTGTACCTGCCTTCTAGTCCTAACTCTTTGCTTTGGGAAAGTAGTTTCACCTCTTTCACCTCCCTCAACTATGAAATGGGAATAATAGTACTACCATTCTGGTAGGGCTGTTGTGAGGAAGTGCTTTGTAAACCTTCAAGTACTACAGAAATGTGAATTACTCCTTTGAGTTTTCTCCTGTGAATGCATTAGGGCATGGAGTCTCTGTCTCTATGTGACAGAAGGCAATGAGCTCACATAGGGCTATGCCCTGGCTCTCTTCTATTCTTTTTTTGTACTATTTCATTTAGTGATCTCCTCAGCTCCCATGGGTTTAAATATCATGTATCTGTTAATGATTTTCAACCTACTTATTCTGCCTAACCTTTCAGACTTCTCAAACTGGACGTTCAGTAGACATTTTAAACTCATCATGTCCAAAACTGAACTTCTCATTTTCTTCCCAAATCTCATTCCTTCCAGACTAGCCTGTTACTGTCTAGGGCACCACCAATCTCCCTCTCCACTGGCTGGCTGTGTCCTCTCTGACTCCCATGTCCAATCATTTGCCAAGGCCTGTTAGTTTTCACCTTTGCAGCATCTCTGGAACACAACCCTTTCTCTCCTTTAATTTATGAAGTGCCTACTATGTGTCAGGCACTGTGATAAACACCAGGGCCACAAAAAGGGCAATCCCTGCCTTCAAGGAGCTAACAGTTGGGTGGCCTGCGGATGGCCTCCCAGTTTAAAGACTTCCCACTACAATTCATCCTCCCCTCAGCTGCCAAAGTGGTTTTCCTAAAGTGCAGGTTGGACCCTATAACTTCACTTACTCCATAAACTCCAGTGGCTCCCAATCACCTTCAGGATCAAATACAAAATCAAAATCCTTCATAACTTACTCTCTTCCTATCTTTTCCAGTCTTCACGCCTTACACCTCCCCCAGTACTCTTGGATCCAATGACCCTGTTCTGCTGGCTGTTCCTTGAATAAGACACATGGGAGGGGGTGGGGTTTCTCTGGCTGACCCACATGCCAGGAACCCTCTCCCTCATCTCAGCCTCCTGTCTACTTTCCTGGCTTCAAGTCCCAGCTAAAATCCCATCTTTTTTTTTGGGGGGGGGGCTTTTTGGTGAGGCAATCAGGGTTAAGTGAGTTGCCCAAGGTCACACAGCTAGTAAGTGTCAAATGTCTGAGGCCAAACTTGAACTTGGGTCTTCCTGACTCGAAGGCTGGAGCTTTATCCACTGTGCCACCTAGCTGCCCCCCAAAATCCCATCTTCTACAGGAAGTCTTTCCCAACCCTTAATTCTAGTGCCTTGTACATTGGTTATTTCCAGTGTATTCTCTGTATAGCTTGTGTGTGCATATTTGCTTGTTCTTTACCCACTAGACTGTGAACTCCTCGAAGTCAGGGACGGTTCTATTTCTTTTTAATGTAAACCTCCAAAGCTTAGCACAGTGCCTGGCACACAGTAGGTGTTCAATAAATGCTTACTGATTTATGGACTAACTGGCTCCAAAAGAAGTAGCTAAACGGGTCAGATGACCCTCCTTCGATGTCTCTTTAAGACTAGCGCCCCCTTGGGGCAGCTAGGTGGCGCAGTGGATAGAGCACCACCCTGGATTCAGGAGGACCTGAGTGCAAATGCGGCTTCAGACACATAACACTTACTAGCTGTGTGACCCTGGGCAAGTCACTTAACCCCTTTGCCTAGCCAAAAAATAAAAAAATTAAGAAAAAAAAAGACTAGTGCCCCCCTTCCTCCCATCCTTTAATCCAACCTCAAGGGGAAGGAACCTAACCAGTATGTGGGTGGAACGCAAGCCGTGGGGAAGCCCTATGAGAAGCGGACTAGCACGACGTGGCCCGCCTCCGGAAGTGACGCGCCACTGCCCCCACTGGCCGTGCGGAAGTGAGGCGATGGCGGAGCTGTACGTGAAGCCGGGTGAGTGGGGATCGGCGCCTCTGGAGCCTCGACTTGGCCCCAGGGCCGGAGGAATCGGGATGGTATTGACGAGGCGTGGGGGCGGGGTGTGACAGCTCTCGGTCTCATCTTTCTCCTTCCGCCTTTCTCCCCCTCTTCCATCTTTCCTCTTCTCCATGCCTCCCCCGTCCCTGTCTCCTTGCCCTCTCCTCTTTCTCCAATCTGTACGTCATCTCCCCCTTCATCTTCTCCCCATTTCCCTCCTTCCCCGCCCCCTCTCCCTCCTCGTCCCCTCACTACCCTCCCTCCCCATTTTCTCTCCGTCTTCCTCTCCTTACCTCTCTCCATCCCTTCCCTCCTGCCTTCCTCCGTCCTTTCATCCCTGCCTTCTCCCCACCTTTCCCCGTCTCCCTTTTTTCTCTTGTTCCTTTCTTTCAATTTTCCTCCCTCTTCTTCCTTTCTTCTCTTGACCTCATTTTTTCTGTATCCTTCCCTTTTTCTATCTTTTCCCCCCTTCATCTTTCTCTTTTGTTTCGTTTCTCCAATACCTTCACGTTCCTTTCTTTTTCCTGATTCCTTCTTCCCCCTTCTCCCTCCACACTTTCATTCTTTCTTTTTATCCGTCTTTTCTCTTTTCCCCGTTTGCCTTCAATTTCAGGGAACAAGGATAGAGGCTGGAATGACCCTCCACAATTCTCTTATGGGTTGCAGACCCAGGCTAGCAGTCATAAAAAGACACCACTCACTAAACGGGTTGCAGCTCCTCAGGATGCTTCTCCAAAAGGTGAGCGCTTGTGAGCCCAGTTCACATTCCCATTGTGCTTGGGGGAGAGTTGCCTGTATTTCCTTTACGCAGGAGGCTTTGGCCTCTTTCATCCTTTTTTTGTTTTCCCAGAGACACAGCTGTCTTTTGGGACAGTTCTTGCCAAAAGGTTATGGTGATATAGATTCAGGCTTGTTCTTTTTGAACGCTGACACTGATTTCCTAAGCCCAAAATAGATTCTCATTTAGTGAGTAGTCCTTGCTCTTACAGGGGTTTAAACAGTGAGACATGTATAGGGTCCCGGCTTAGCTCCTTAAAGAAAAAGTTTCCCATTTCCTTCCTCTCTGCTCTTCCCCTTCCAGCTGAGGCCATATTGACCAGGAAAGTCTGAGGGATATTCGTTGGTTTCTAAAGTCTCAGGAAGGGGTCCTGGTGGGGGGCAGTGGGAGAGGATGAAACTGGGGGCAGGGCTTTTTACCAGTTGGGCCATGATGTTCAGTGCTGTTCTCAGCACATTGATTTTACCTTCTCAGTGCCTGCCTCAGAGCCTTTTACTGGGGCTCCTCCAGTGGGACCACCACCTCTCCTGACAAAGGCTCCTGGGCCTCCTCTTGGGGGAAGCTCTTCTCCTTTGAGGTTGGATCCTACCAGCTCCCCAGTCACTTGTGAAACAATGCTGGAAGATGTGCTGGGACCCTTGGAACAGGCGTTAGAGGATTGCCGAGCTCATACACAGGTGAGGCCCAGGGGAACCCAGTTTCAGGATGGAAGCTGAGCCGGAGTAATTAGCTAGATTGTAAGCCATTCGCTGGAGAACAAGATCTGTGTCACATCCATCTTTGTATCCCTAGTGCCTTCTGCTTAAATTCAGTCTCCCTCTCCTTTCCCCTAAAAAGTACAGTGAAATTCTCTGGACTTTTTATAAAGAAGGGACTAGATTGGGCAGGTACTGAGTTAAACCTAGGCAGCATAGTATAGATGAGGCAAGAATTCTTTTGTGGAAAAGACACTGGCTTTGGAATTGTAGGTACTTGAGTTCAAATTCCATCTCAGTATAACTTTGGATTAATTGTATCATCTCTCTGTAAGCCTGTGTTCTCATCTACAAGATGAGGAGGTTGTACTTGATGACCACTAAGGTCCTTTTCAGCCCTAAATTCCATTATTTTCTTGTTCCTTCTATCCCCATTCATCTACTAGAATTTTACTTGATTATGTGCCCATTAAGGTGGAACAAAAGCAGACCCTGGGATTGTGTCCCAGACATTACACACATTACCTTGGCTTTGTCTTCGAGAGAGGTAAACACTTTTCTGCTATTATCCAAGGTGCCATATAATCATTCTCAGGAGGAATAGAGCCTAGAGGGCACGAAGTGGTTTGCTGGATGGTAAAGAGTGGGAGGAATAGAAGAGAAGACCAGAATGTTGACAGGAATATCGTGGAGGGAAGATGAAAAGGCAGATTAGAGCTCTGACTTGGGAAGAGTTTCTGTGTACTCAGAAACAGGTTTTGGATGACATCAGCCGGCGCCTAGCCTTGCTTCAGGGACAGTGGAAGAGTGAGAAGCTGTCAGTTCCTGTGAGGAAGAGGATGGCACTGCTGGTGCAAGGTGAGCCATGTTGAGGGACCCCAGGATGCCCTTAAATTCTGCCACTTGGCTACTTGTGTGACCCCTGCACAGGGGCTGGAATAGTCTACTAGAGAGGCAGCAGGATATAGTGGAAATAAATTGAATAAGCACTGCACTTGGAATCAAGACACTTGCCAGCTCAGACCCTGATTATGGGCAGTCCTATTACCTCTCTAAATCTATTTCCTCATTTGCAAAATAATACTTCTACTTCATAGGGTTGTGGTAAAGAAAACACTTTGTAAACCTTAAAGCTCTATAGAAATGTGACCTTTTATTAAATGTTCAGAGGGGCAGTCCTTGTGTATGGGGGAGGAAGGAGCACTGTATTATGCTCAGGGCCTCTCTCCTCTTAGAGCTCAGGAGCCACAACTGGGATGGAGCTGATGACATACACCGATCGCTGATGGTGGATCATGTGACTGAGGTCAGTCAGTGGATGGTGGGAGTGAAAAGGTTAATTGCAGAAAGGAGGAGCCTGCCTTCAGGGGAAGCTGCTAAGGAGAAGCCTACTACTACAGAGGAGAATGAGGAGGTCTCGGGCCTCTCTACAACTCTGTGACCCCCTGTTTTCTTCCTCCCCCATCAGTCCCTATCTCCCCCACTGTCCTAGACCTTGAACTATGAATGGAACCTGGTGGGGTTTGGGGTCCAGGGACTTATGTTTGCTGGCTTCCTTGATACCAGCAGGAGGTAGGGAGTTGGAAGAAGGGAAGGGAGGTTCTCTTTTAGCAGAGAAGCTGCTCCAACTCTAACTGGGACTTTGGCCTGACTCTGGGGAGGGAAATCTGTGTAGGCAGGTCATTGGTTGCTTCTGACATATGCAATTAAATAAAAACATCTTGTCCAGTGGTATGTCTTGGTGAGGCAGTGGGGGCTTTTTATTTTCCAAACCACTTGGCATTGGGCTATCTAGGAGTATACGTCTCACCCATAAAGGTTTTCGGTTTCTTTGAAATCTTAACTCTAGTTCCTTTTCTCTCTTACAGATATAGTTTAACATTAACTTGTGCTGGGCTGGATATGACAAAGTCCCTGCCCTATAGGAATTTTCAAATGACAGGATCAAAAGGACCTAAAAATGAATAGCTGAGCCAGCTAAAAAACAGAAGCTTGTCCCTTTCCTCGGACTGGGCATGGAGAGAATGAAGATGGTTGGAAGAGGAGGAATGAGGCTTGGACCCTTACCCCCCCAGGAAAGGCAGTAGAGCTGAACCTATCTAAAACGAGCAGCTCGTAGGTAGGGCTGCTCCAGGGGCCAGGAGAGTAAGGGAACTCAGGAAGCTTATCACCACAGGATTTCCTTAGGTTGTAGCATGGGAGATAGCTGGTAGCCAGCATTCCTGGGCACTGACTGCAGGCCTCATTGCCACCTTTGCTCCAGTTGACCAAAAGTAGAAATGTAAAATAAAGACCTAAAGGGGTTCTGCCTTGGCTAAGCAGCCTGCTGGACCAGGTGTTAAGAGAAATCAGGGCACTGAGTAGTACTGAGTAATCAGAGTAGAAAAGAGTTTACTGAATCTTGGTATCAAATGGCAGGTGGTGGGAAGGAATCCAGAAAGATGCCTTCCTGGTTGCTGAAGAAAGGAAAATACTTCCCTTAGTTTTCAGAAGTCTCAGGTTTGAATCCCCTACTCTGCTATTTACTGTGTGACCTTGGCTAAATAATTTCCTCTAAATACATCTCACTTTCCTCATTTTCGGAATAAGAGGTTGACAGATGATCCTTGTAAGGTCCCTTCCATTACTAACATTCTGTGATAACAATACCAAACGGAGAAGGGGAGCCTCAAATGACCTCTTCCTAAGGGATGATGTCCCATATTAAAATAGCAGGTAGGGACTGGAACAGAGTTACAGCAAAGGCTCAGATCCTGGAAGGCTGTTTCCTGGAACGGGGAACAACCCTTGGCAGGTGCCACGCTGTTGCTGTTTACAGTACAGTTCCTGCTGGCCCTTGCTCCCCACCCTAGGCTGGATCTGACTGCAGCTGGAACAGGGCCCAATCTTAGAAGCAGAGTTCTATGGGGCATGAATTCCTCATTCTAGCTTCAGGATGACCAGGGGTGGTACAGCAGTACCTTTTTCCCCCTCAAAAGGGAGGAATTCGGGTAAGGTGGAGAAAATAGAAATGTGATCCAGGGGATGTCTTTCACTGTGTTTATTAAGCATTGACAGGGTACAGCATCCAGTTCCACAACCCAGTAGGAAAAAATGGGTATTAAGGGCTCAGCAAGTAACTTCCAAATCCACATGGCCTCCATTTGTAGAATAGCACCTTCTACCCACACCCCAAATCCCAACTTTCCCTCCCCCATCACCTTGGGCCCAGTCACTTCTGAGAACTGAAGGAGCCACTAGAAATAAGCCTTTCTCATGCCTGGGGAAGTTGAGGCCCTGGTTGTTGCAGTAAGAGCCATCTGGCAGTAGCACACAGGAGCTGGGGCAGAATTCTTGTGTTAACAAGGTCAAATACTCCAGGTCAGATGTCCATTTCAAACTGCCTCATCTGGAGGGAAAGAGGAGCCTTAGGGTTAGATTGGTCTAATTCTCTACCATGCAGTTAGTCCTTCTTGTCCCTGGCTCCCTCCCTTACACCCTTTTTTGCTAGAAGCTGCTCTATAGTTAAGGGACCAGCCCTGAAATACCAAAACTCCCTTAGAATTGGCCTGTCTACTCCCAGAGTTCGGGGGGGGGGGCAGTTTTCCCCATTCCCCCTTCCTGTAGGTTGGGGCAACTTTTACTGTTAAGGTTCCTTCTTCATGCCTTATAAACAATTGTTTTTCTATTTTCTCCTGAACCCTGCCATTTAAGCTAGAAAGCCGAGGCAGGAGTGTAGTCTAGGGTGAACACAAGGGATCTTGTAATAAAGTTTAATTCTTTCCTTCTGCAACTGTAAGTTGCCAGTGGATGAGACTTTAATATTCCCTGTCAGGCCTCCTTACCTGGGATCTCTTCAGTTTCTGCTTCTTTAATTCCTCCAGTTTGGCCAGTGGGGCCTGTGGTGGGGCAGTGACCCCAGGGATCTGGGGGAGGTAGCAAGGTGGTGTCCGGTTAACGGGTGAGTTCTTACATTCCAGCAGGAATTTTTGATCATAGATGATTCTAGTTCCTGTAGGGAGTGGATCATGGAAGGTGGGAGAAGAATTCAATGGGACAGAACTGCAGTGCTTTGCCTAGAACCCATCCCTTTCTAAACTAACTGACTGCCTCTGGGAATAACTGAGCAAATATGACAATTTCTTTGGACCTCAGTTTCCTTACCTGAAAGAAGGAGGTTGGACTAGATGATGCCTTCCATCTCTAGTTCTGAGAGAATAACTAATGGACAGAAGGGCATGACAGCCTTTCCTTTCTAGAACAGTGCTCAGCTTCAGATTGTTTCCTGTAAAGGAGCATGTGTCTGCTAGGAAGATGAGATTTGTTTAGGTTTTTGGACTGGGACAGTATGTATGTGCACACCAACACTCTCCTCCCTACCTAGCACCTGTGTCTTACTGTACACTAGCGGTTTTCAATCTAATACTACCTCACAAAAACAATACCTTTGTATCATGGAAAATAGAATTTTCTGGTATTAAATATGAAGTCACACAACTCTCTCATTGGATAATTCCCTTTTCCAGGGGTGGGGTGGGGAGGCTGCCTGTTTTTCCTACTCCTAGTACTGTGTGTGGTGGAGGAGTTTGAGAGTCTGAGAAGATCTTACAGTTATCTAGTAAGCAGCAGGGAGCCCACCCTAGGAGGAAGCTAAACCTCGGTCCTGAGAGCATTCATTTTGGTCCTTTCTCAATCCCTAAAAGGCTCAGACTGAAACCTTGGCTGGACTAGTAGTAGATACACAGAGTGCTCTGCACATCGCCTTTCTTTTCCTTACCCTCCCCCCTCCTTCAGTTTCCCCTGGGAGGAACAAGGCAGGAGCCCAACTTGTGATCTTGGTTTCTCTGACCAATCCCGGCAGCTGTTAGCATACGTCTTTGCCCTGGCTGGCCCACCTTAGTATCCGCTTTCCTGGACGTCTAATTAACTTTGGGACCCTCAGAGCACTGCTGGAAGCTAGTAATGACTATGCGTCTTGTGCTTCAGGGAGGACAATGGCCCTGGCAAGGAGCCTGGGGGCAGAAGTGGGTGAGGAGGTGAGATTTCCTGGCACCAGCAAGGCCACTTTAGTTTGAGGGGCCTCAAGTTAGGGCCTCGGGTGACCTCTGAAGCCCTAAGGCCGAACTCACTGCCTCCCTCCAGTAACTGAGATCTCAAGCTGGCTTGTTAGCCTAGCTGCAGTACTCAACACTGCTGCGTTATTTGGGAGGCTGTGGGAAACGGGCTGGGGCAAAAACACATGCCAACCGTTTGGGGTCCTCGTACAGCCTGGGCAGCTACCTTGAACTCCGGCTTCAGAAAGAGCTAGCAGAGTCCTGAGCCCTTCTATATGCTTAGGTCACTGGGCTTTGAAGCCTGAGCCATATACCTCGAAAATCAGATCAAAAGAAGAACGGATGGCGCATGCCCACCAGCCCCAAGGCCCACCTTTACTACGTACAACTCTAGCCCCTGCACCCTCCACCATCTGGACTCCTCCCCAAACTGTAGCCAGGCTCCCAAGCGCCTGGGATCGCGCCTAGCCCCAATCCCAGCAGCTGACCTCCCGGGGTGGTGGCGAACAGCGTGCCCCCGGGCGTGGTGCTGCAGCAGTCAGGCAGCCGGTCCCGGCCCCCGGGAATGGGGCAGCTAGTGGAGGTGGACATGGCGAGCTGGTGGCGAGGACACTGAGTCCGGATGCCAGCGTGGGCTGGGTCCCAACCACATGCTGCCCCGGGCAACAACACTGAGGCTGGACCAACTCGGGGCGGGGTCAGCAAGTTACTCATTCCAGGGTGAGGGCCCCAGGCAGGGCGTGACACTTAACTCCTTATTCTTAGTTTTTATTTTACACTTAAAGTAATGCCTACGATTGTCAGAGTTTCTTCCTAATGTAAAAGGCAACAATAAATACCTGATGTCGTGTCATGTATGTAAGGATGGAGATAAGGGTAGATTAAAAATGCAAAAGGTTTTAAAAATCTTTATCAATTATCAACTCAACTTTATGGAGGGGAACAGATAACCTAATCCAGGAGGAAAATAATCTAACTGTAGACAAGCAAACTGCAAACCTATATGCCTTGGTAAGTGATTGTACACAAGAAAGGCATTAGTGAGGCATGGGATAATCTGGAAATTGATCCATTCCATCCATGAAAATTGAGCCAGTTATAGAATATCTAAATACTCCCAATGATGTATGACTGAAAGGCAATCGCTCTCATTTCCTCACTTCGTGATGTCCAAGGCTTCACAGGGAAAAAGCCCAACCTAAATTGCCACCATACACAAAGAGTACAGAGGCTTCTAATGGTGGAGGTGAAATGTACACTTTCCTGACATCTCTTAAAGCACTTTGATTTTCCTATCCTTCTGTGGCTGAAGAATTGCAAGGATCAAAGGAATGAGATTATAATGCAATAGTAGCCTCAGTTCCAGATCAGTTTCTTCAACAAGTTATCCATTCCCCCCCTCAAAATTTATTATCTAAAGTTTTTGATGCCTTTTTTTTTTTTTTACACTTTGGTCACTTTCCAATATTATCCGTTTCCTTTCCCCCTCAACTCCCACCAGGATAATAAAACCAGTTGGGTGTAGGTCAGAGAAAAAGTGCTTCCTCCTTCTGTAGCAAAATAGAAAATTTTCTTAAGAAATGTTGACAGAAAAAAAAATGTTGATGGAAATAAAAGCTCTGTGGATATGCAACATCATTTAGTGAAAAATCCCCTTTTCCATCACTAAAGAGGAATGATTTTGAAGTGTTTTGTACATAATCAAAGAAGCTGTTAGATAAATTTTCCTTGAGCCCTCACTTAAAGTCATCTTTTCTGGACCAAATTCCCAAGGGCATCTCCCTTAGTGATTAAGGGAAGAAAATTGGTAGTCACCATCTCTTTGGGCAGGTGACAAGTAGTTGGATGACTACAAGCAATAGCAGTAACTTAATCCCAGACTGTCTACTGTGGAACCATGTCATAGCCATATTTTTTCATGATGGAAGAGGCCTGAGTTTAAGAACTAGGCAATCACGTGTTTTGCTGCCTTAGCATAACACCTTCCAAAGGTCTTAACAGAGTCAAGTTAAGGTCATAATCACTAAGCACACCCACTTACTCTGTTTGGATGGGAACTACAGAATGACTGGCCCCTCCCTTTTCCAAGCTGAAACGTGTCTCGTACCTAGGAAGGAGTGGTAGTGGCGGTAGGACCTTGGCTTTTAGGTGAGTGAACAGATGAACAAACAAAACGAGAGCTGCTCTGAGTTGTGAAATTTCTTAACCTTTAGTTTGGAGCACCTCCCCATTACCTTTTCCCTCTCCCATTTGCTTAGCTGAGTGGTGGTGCCTCTTTGGTACTTGTACCAGTACTAAAAGAAAGACTGCTTTACAAAAAAGCAATCAATGCACCATAGACAGTAGATATCAAAAGTGTCTTGCTACAAACTCTCAATTCTTTTGTGATAGAATTTGGTTGTTTTGTTTTAAATAAGTGGGCTTGAAAATCTTTAATATAAAATGCCTTCCTTGTGATGAATTTTTATTGTAATGGAATAGATTTTTTAAATTGCCTAAAGTATCTCCAGTAAGCACAACAGGCACATGTTTTCATCCAAATTTCCATCTCACTCCCTGCCCCACAATAACCCTTTCCTTTTCTTTCAAATCATAACTAAAAGGAAATACTAATTATCAAAATATTTCACTGTATAATCCCTGAGGATTTCCATTAATTCTATAACCACATATATTCATGCCAGATGTGCTATCAAGAAGGGACAATCGACAAGTATATTTGCATATCAAGAAAAAAAGATCAGTTTATTTTTATATAATGTTAAAGTTAGTAAAAAGGGAGAATAGGAGACGCAGGCTGACAGTAGTAGGGATGTGTATGTGTGTGTGGGGGGAGTTTAAACTGGTGACTAGATTCAAAAGAAAAACAGTCTTGATAAAAAAAAAATTGAACACTTTTAGTTTTAAAGATCCTTTCTCTCAAAACTTTCCCATAGTTACAACCTAAAAGGCAGGAAAGCATGTCAGCTGGTCTGCCAAGCAGCTTCTTGTAATACTATTTATAACAGATCATCTTTGTTACTAGCATATGTAATTGACTTATGTTACTCTTCTCACTAGTTTTCTCATCTGAAGCTGCGTAACTTTCTCCATTAATTCTAGTAAATGCTTTTTTAAAGTGGCAAGTAGGAGCAAAGTTTATAGGTAATAGGTATTACCACACTATGAGCTCCTAAAAGCCTATCAGTTAAAGAAATCTGAGAATGACTGCTCTAACCAAAAAACTACTGAAGAGGCAATTATATCTCTTGCCAAACTGAAAAAATAATAACTGGGGTTTTTTTAAGTCCAGTAAAAAGTTCTGCCTGATGGCTACAATATCATAGTGTTCCAGTACACAAAAGAAGAGGCATGTTTGACATTAAACATATGCTTTTAATTTTGTATGGTATAAAGTATGCCTGTGTCTTCAAACTCGAAGCATTTTAGAGCTAGGGCAGGGGAAAAACCACATAGATCAACTCAACTTTGGTCTCCAAGTTTCAGGATTCATAGGGCACAAGAGAATCTTTTAAAGGATAATCATCTCTTAAAACATAATTTCCTCCAGCCTTATCTCATTCTCCGCTGTTCCTTTCCCCCTCCCCTTCCCCTCCAGTTGTGTTGATCTAAGTGTGACTTCTTTCTAAGTTCCACATTATTTTCTGGTGCTCTATTTTCATAAACTCTCTATAGGAGCAGAAAATTCACTTGCATCTAAACATGAGTATACAATTGTACTATTTAGTACTTTAGTGTTTTCCCATACTGTTGCATCAGATTCTTGGCATTACCTCTTGCTATGCTAGTTATAAACAATTTTCACTCTTCAGGATAGGGGTAAGTTCATCCCACTAAATACTTGCACTTTAGAGTGCCATCCAAAATTTATATGAGCATTCCCCACTCCTGTGTCCTGCCTCACATGTCAAAAAAAAAATCAATCTAAATAGATATTCTAATTCTAATCTAGCCTGAAACTGGTCAACATTATCTGATTCAAAAGCCTGCTCTTTTTCTGGACACATCTACCAAATGGTGACTGTACCAATGCCTGATAAAGCTCCATTGCCAGAGTTTGTGCTCAATAAAAAGGCCATGATATTTATGGCTCACAAATACTAACTACGTTTACTGAGTAAACAGGTTGAAAAACTGGTTAACAAAGACTTCTCCCTTTTCAGATCAAAGGTACAGCTGTTGAGTGATCTTTAGGGGATTTCCCAACTAGTTCCAAGTGACATGAAATCACTCAGGCAGCTGTGAATATGCAATATGCAAACAATGAAAGGATCACAACCAACTTCCAAATATTGTTCATCTTTTTATTGAATATTCAGGTAAATATTTCACATTAATACAGGCTACATAAAGTAGAGCCACTATACGACATGAAATTTACTCAACTTTTTTTTTCCTTTTAAGTATGTAAACAATTATACATGTATTTACCACCCTAAAAGGTTGAAATCATGTAATCATCTAGTTCTCTTCTGCAGACAAGTAGCATTCAGCACTGTTTAGCCAAAAGCACTAGGTTCATCTGATTTTAAGTTCAAAATGGCTAAACTAACTGGAGAACAGAATCAGTTGGATAGGAAAATCAATTTGTTCTTACACAACGGGCAATCAAGTTTCCATTGTTAAAGCCCACACAGAAAATTGCTTAGTTAGGCACATTAAAAAAAATCCCCAGGGTTCTTCCAAGGTCATAGGTTTCCCAAACAAGGCTAAAGAGAAAAGACCTTATAATTTAGTTGACATATTTGAGATGCATGTTTCCAATATGAGGTGCCCACGTGCCAGGCCAAATCTGAAAAGGGGGAAAAAATCATAACTTCCAATTAGGAATGTTACACATTAATAAAACAAAATACAAATTTTATGGCAATTATTTCCACCAAGGGGGGAAAACCCTATAATACTAAACACAGTTAACAATAGATTGATACTAAAACAGTAAGATGATAGAAATTATTTTTGGTGTTGAGGATTTGTATTTACAGAAATTATTATTAAATATTATTAAATTATTGTATTTATTATTATTAAATTATTGCATTTAGAGAAAAAAAATCTGAAAGGTAAGCGAAAGAGTTAAATGTCTTTTACCTGCTGAGCATCAGTACATTCTGTTGAGTTTTGGACAACTTTTATCATAGGGTTCCAAGCAGGATCTGGGTTATGAAGTCCATTAAACAAAGGGCCACCTGGACCATCAGCAAGCTGAGGATGTGAGGGTATTATGGTACCTCCATACATGGAAATTGGCAGACCCTACACAGCAGAAAGCAAATATTTATAATCGTGAAGTAATTACAAATGATCAGATTATGCCCCTGGAATCCTTTTCAAACAAAGAATACAATAATCCAAAGACTCTCTATGTGGTAGAAACAGCTGCCATCTGCACCAAATAACATGTATAAATAGTACTCTGGGAAAGAGAAGAGAAAAAATATAAGCCCTATTGAGAGTCAAAATAAACTCATCACCTGAAATGTGCATGATCTATCTCACAGGATTACTATGGAAAAATACTTTGTAAACTTGAAAAAGCTATTCAAATTTAACATCAAATTTCATAGAACTAGAATTAGAAAGGACCCTCAGTATGATCTAGACCAACCTCATTTACAGATAAAGGAAAATGATACCAACAGGCTAACTTGATTTAGCTAAGGTGAGAGAGAAAGAGAGAGAGAGAGAAAACAGTAGAGCCAGAAACTGAATTCAGCCTCTCTGGTTTCAAGACCTGTATTCTTTATCATTACCATAATCCTTGAGAACATCCTTTTGTACAGAATAAGTTACTGCTAGTAATACAGTCAACTACCATTTATTTAAGCCTCCCAGTATTTTGAAAGACACAGCACACTTACTAAATGAAGCAAAACGACTGGCAAAGATTTGAGTTTATGTGAACTCCAAAGAAAGGGATATTTAATCTCAAAAACTTAAAAAAAAAATTACCCTTAAGCTTGCTAGGATTTTCAAAAAGGTCTACATGGACAATTCCACAGTCAGTCAATTTTATATCCTTACTTTAGAAAAATCCACAAAACTGCTTGCCATAGGCTGATGGAAAATGTTAGAGGGAGCCACCATTCCTGAATCATCTCTTTCCATTGCCTGGTGCTGGGAGAAGGTGCCTGGGTCTGAGAGCTGCTGATGCAGTGGGTGATTCCCCATCACAGGCTGTGACCAACCAGAAAGGCCTTCTGGAAAAAATTAGAAATAGGCTATGTGTTACTTAATTTGAACTGAGAGAAAAAAGAACTCCTGGTCTATGTCAGCAGCTTGATTAGTACGTTAAATGAGAACTTTTCTGAATAATAAGCACTTTCTAGTAACTGCCATGAGGCCTCTTCAAAAGATGTCTTCAGTGACAGAGACTGGTCTTCTTAGGGATTCCAAGGATTGCTACTATCTGAGCTAGATATTTCAAATGAAAAGGAAATATACTTTTAATCATTTCTAGTTGCTGTGCTTTATGCTTACAATACTCACTCTAAGTAACATTTCAGACTTAAGGTATAGCTGTAATCTTGATAGGTATAAAACACTACCACTTAGAGGACTTCTATCATTGAAAGAATTTCCTGCTTTCTTTAAAAGCCCTACTTAAGCTATTTCCTCTACAGAAGGCCGGGCAATCTTACCTGACACGCTATTAACGCCAAAGGACCAGATACCACTATGTCCAACAGGTGCTGTGAAATTAGTTCCCAGAGGCGTTGGTGTAACAGAACCTCCTTGTCGAATCCGAGCAAGTCTCTCTGTTCCAATCGGGGGAGGTACCTTTCTATCCTGACTGGGGTTGCCTCCTTTTGGCTGGCCTAATGTTGGTGGTGCAGAAGTAGCTGAAAGGGGTGAAGATGATCCCGAGGAAACAGATGGAATAGGAGAGTCACCTGGTAGCAAAATATACCTCTATTGTTTTATTACATATAAAAACTAGTTATGGTAAATATTTGAGAAATTTGGGTGGAGAATTCTTCCACCAAAGTCCTACTATGATGTCTTAATGTGGAGGAGATATGAACCTGGGTTTTTGAAGGTTCTGTATGCTAAAGGAATTCAAGCTATAAAATCTTAATGGGTATAGTACCCAGTAATGGATCGTATAATAAGATAATTTAGTATGTTAAATAAGGAGAAGGTGCATTATCAAAAAGGTTATCAATATTCTTTGCCCATAACAACCTATAAAGCTAAAGGTGTGGAAAGGATTTGTGCTGGTGGTGGTTAAACACAATGATGAAACTATGGCTATTTTTAAGTACTGAAGTTGAAAAATTAGTTTCTAAAACCAAGATTCTATAAATAGTTTTAGATTATGTATAATTCTGAATAGAACTTAATGAATATTGAAAATGGCTTAAAAATTTCTTAGGCTGCTCAGATGAAGGCAGAAAAGAAAGGTATTATATATTTACTGCTACTTCTGGAGCAAAAGACTCATCCTTGCCCTAAATTATAAGGACTGAAAATGATTACATTTTAAAAATAAGGATAAATGTTAGAAAAGTATTACAAGTTTCAACCGACTGGTTGGTTACTGAACTGTAACATGGCCATTTTTCTGGGATTAAGTTTTTGTACTATCAAAGATGGCAATTAAATCCTGACTAACTTATGGTTCATTATACTGTGGGGATTTACTCATAATAGTCTTTATCAATGAATAAGAAAAAGAATCAAATTTATACAACTTTCCTAAATGTAAAAAAAAAACCAGATCAGGGCAGTATTACAATTTTTAGCTTCTGATCAAATTCAACAAATTATTCAATAGTAGTACAATGCAAAGGGTCCTTTGTAAAAATACTTCTGATTCCTGTTCTACTCAGCACAAAGTCAATAAAAATATTTCAAGATTTGAAGACTAGTTTGAGCATTTTCTTTCCTTCTTTTTTTAGAAGACCAGGTCTCCCTATCTCATCCAGACTATAAGCACAATGGCTGCTTACAGGCTCCATCTCACTGTGATTAACAAGGGAGCCTTTTATCTGCTCCATTTCTGACTTGACTCAGCTTGTTTCTCCTTAGGCAACCTGGTAGCATCACCCCACCCCCAAAATTCTAGGAGGCTCACCACTTTTAGTGCCAAACTTGATACAAGATAGAGCTCCTGAGACAAAGTGATCCACCAGTCTCAGCCTTAGTGACAATAAGGATTCTGGGTGTATGCTACTATTACCAGCTAGTTTGACCATTTTCCATGCTGCTTATGTTATCAATAAAAGACCATAGTGATCAAATATTATCGAAAGTGTCATAATACATTATCTAAAAATAACTCTCTGAGATAGTCAATTAATTAAGAAACTTTCACAATCATTTTTTTCCCCAAAATTCCTACATGAATTTGAAGCACTTGTCCAAGGATGGGGTGAAAAATGTTGTCTGTTGAAACTTGGAGTCCCAACAGGTGCTGGACCTTGTAGAAAAACCCGTGTTCCTTGTATGTTGGAAAAACTTGTCAGAGGAGCTGAAGAAGAAGATGGGGAGCTTCCAGATGGATCAATGGATGGTAATCCTGAAAGAAAGCATGGCCAAGATATACATTTAATTGAGATTTTCAAATCCAAACCCTTAATTTTCTTTTAGGAAAGGAGGAGACAAAGAGTTCCTCCTGTTAATTCAAAGATTTATGAACAAAGAAGTAATATGGAAGGGAAGAGCTTCCTTGAAATGACTAAAATTCCTTCAATTCAATAAATACTTATTTGGGGCAGGTGGGTGGTGCAGTAGATAGAGTACTGGCCCTGAAGTCAGGAGGACCTGAGTTCAAATCTGGCCTCAGACACACAACACTTACTAGCTATGTGATCCTGGGCAAGTCACTTTAACCCCATTGCCTAGCAAAAAAAAAAAAACTTACTAAAAACCCACTATGTACAAGATTTCTGTGCTTTCAAAGGGTCAGCTAAGGCTGTATATTATAAATAAAAAAAAATGCACATTTAACACCAAAACACTGGCTGTGGCATGTTAGTAGCCCATGATGAAGCATATTTAAACACATATCAGGAAAGAATAATTATTTTAAGAATGAGACAATCATCTAGATTAATTCCATAACTTTCACTGAAAGGGAAAGTATGGTGGAGGTCATGGGAGACAGAGTAGCACAATAGAAAGAACACTGGCTCTGGTGTCAAGACCTAGGTTCAAATCCTGCCTCTGATGCTTACTACTTGTATGACCATAAGCAAGTCACTTTATTTCCTTGAGCCTCAGATCCTGCATCAATAAAAACAAGAGAGTTGGAGAGATGGCTTCTAGATGGTTTCTAACATATTTTCCAACCCTAGATCTAATACGTTATGAACCTAAGGCCAGTGCACAGGAGAACTTGTGACCAGATAGCATCCATATCATTATTTAATGGAACAGTTATATTTTGAAGAAAATTTTAAGAGTATAGTTCTTCATCTTCACCCAACAGAAATGTGTCCTGTGAGAAATGAGTACTTAAGACTACCAGTGTTCCTGAAGAGGTCAGTGATGCCGTTAAACCAACCAGATATGGAATATATTACTTATTACAGTAAAATTAACAAGTTGTAAACAGATTCAAAATCTTTTTTTTTCAGATTCAAAATTTTTCTTCCAAAAGTGTCCTAGGGTGAATTTTGGCTTTCTTGCATTGTATTACCTATTGTAGAAGACCTACTGGGGAATGGGTAAAAAGGCTTGAAAAAGGAAATTGCTATTTTCATTTCAAGAAAAGATAGCTTGTGACAAACCTGCAAATTACTCCCCCCCCTCAAAATCACTCAAATAGGCCTCCTTAGTTTTCATTTCTTTTGGAGTCAATTGGGGTTAAGTGACTTGCCCTAGGTCACACAGTTTTAGTAAGTGTCTGAGGTTGAATTTGAACTCAGGTCCTCCTGACTCCAGGGTCAGTGCTCTATCCACTGCACCACCTAGCTGCCCCCTTAGTTTTCTAACTATACACTCTTTATACTTCTAAAAACTGCTTTTAAATGAAACATAAGAGATTTTCTGAACTGCAATTTTTGTAAAGAGAGCATCCACAAATAAACATACTAGGCAGATGCTGGGTTTACTTCTCATCACTCTGGAGGACAGTGTAAATGTAAAAAGCTACAATTTTAAATGCATACTCATATTTCTACATCACTTTAAAAGTTGATGAAGTACTTTTCTCATAACAATGGGAAACAAGCAGTGAAAATACTATTTTCATTTTACAAATGAGAAAACTCAGACATGGAGTAGATGTAATTTACCTATGGTCATAAAATGCTAGTGTCAAAACCAGGATTCAAATTCATGTTTTTTTTGATCCCCAGTCCAGTGGCATTACCACACTGAGGCTATTATAACCGCAGCACTGAGAACAGGGCCTGTAATTTACTGCTTCCTGCTCCTATGGTCTTTCAAGAATATTCCAAAATCTCTTACTAAGTCCACCCAAATGAAATCTAACCAGCTTTTGGGACTTTTGAAGGTATTATGTGTATTTAGGGTTCTACTGCATTATAGGAATGTAGAAAGTACTTACAAATTTTTTGAGTACAGTATATTTAATGCCACACCCAGAGATTTACTTGAGAAAGTTGATCCCCCCTGCCCACCATGCAGATGTAGTTTAAACAACATAGCCAATCAGTAAAGGGGCAGCATATAGTATAAATACCATTGTTAAATCCTTCAACTGGAAGGATTTTCCCCCCAACAATTTCAACTCCAAATTATATTCATCAATTACAATTATTTTTCAGCACAGTACATACCTAAAGTGCCATTCTCATTCCTCTACAGCATATCCTTTATTGTGGCTCAGTCTGATAAACATACTAAGTTTCCCAAAATAAGTTCAAAATTGACACTTATTCTTATAATTCATCCCATTCTTTCATGCAGTGAATTCACAGTTGGTTTCTAAGTCCATTTAAACAACAGTCACCCAAATGAAGCCTTTCAAAAACAAGTGTACAAATGAACAGGGGCAGCCAGGTGGTGCAGGTTCTGACTCCAAACTCAGTTTCAGACACTAGCTGTATGACCCTGGGCAAGTCACTTAACGCTGTCTGCCTCAGTTTCCTCATCTGTAAAATAAGCTAGAGACGAAATGGCAAACCACTCTTTGCCAAGAAAACTTCCCCAAAGGGATTATGGAGACTCAATAACAAAAATAAACGAATAATGAATTTTATGCTAACAGTAAAAGTTTGAATTTAAAACAGTGCTTTCTAACAGGAGTAGGAACTAAGAAAGTATGCTATGAGCCTGTTTCTAAAATCACAACTTGCATTTTTCATCCAAAGTATGAAATTTCAGAGACTATGGAAAATGTTTGCAAGCTGTGAATTTCCTGGACCCTTTATCAAAACTCTCATTTGATACAAGCACAGGGAGATATCTGGCAACAAGGCACAATTTCACTGCTAAGAGTTAGGAAAAACATAAGGTGGCAATACCACCTATGCATAAGTTCCCACTGTCGCCCTGGGGGTGTTGGAATGATAGGGGGGGCAGGGCAGGGGCGGGACAGTAGTACTTTGAAATGAAATGATTCAAAGCCAAAACCATTAAAGGCTTAAAGAAAGTAGATTTGGGGGAGTTGGCACTGAGTAATACTTTTTTTTTGAAAAGCCAAATAAGTCTGGGAACCTCTGAAAGGAAGAGGAATATGAGCTGATTGATGAAGGTCGAACAGAGATGATTTAGCTGCTAGTAACTTACCAACTGGACTAGTAGAAACTCGCTGGGAAGGTGGTCTGAATCCAGGTGCCTTGGAGTTATCAGGATGCACATTTTCTAAGTGTCCAAGAACAGAGTTACCCAGGAAAGTTGACTGAACAGTGAAAGATGGATCTGTGGCAGCTCGTGAAGACAGCGGGCAGTCTCCCCAACCCTGGTTAGCTGGTACCTGGTTACTATCAAAAAGACTACTAAAGTGATTGAAGAGTGTGGCTGGACCAAATGTAGGTGGCAAAGATTTATTTGCTGGGTTAATGTGCATCTGAGAACTGTTCATAATGCTCATGGCTGAGGATAGCTGCACTGCAGCTGGTGGACCTTGAGGTGGTGTTAAAGGAACTGGGTTTGTAACAAAAATAGACTGTGGATCCTGGTGTACAGTTGCATTAGGTACCACTGAATAAAAAGAACCTCTAGGCTGCATTCGGTGAGAAACTCGAGGTGCTGGTACAGCTAACTGAGGTAAATTACTGGTGTCCTGATTATCAGCAGCAACTGATCGAGGAGATGCTAAGCTTAATGGGGCAGGCTCTGAGTTAGATGCAAAAGGCAATGACATAGGACTTAAATCAGATATGTTTGCTGGCAGTATCTCCTCCTGTGTATTATTGAGAGGAGCAGGACTACTAGAAGAACGGGTTTCCAGGGCCCCTGGGTTGTTGCTGGCAGAGATACTACAATTATTTGCAACTGAAGATGGGGTACATAGGTTTCCCACAGGCTGGTCTTGTGTGGACACCTTCTCTTTGGGAGTTGATATAGCAGAGAAAGAGTCTGTTTTGTGTGCAGAAAGTTGTGTTTGTGGAGCACTAGAGGGCAGAAATGCTGTGGGGACTTGTCCACTGTTGACAGATGCAGAGGAAACAGAAGGCAGAGAACTACAGGCGCTTGTCACAGTAGAGATCACTGTTGCCATGGTACTTGTCTTAGGAACACAGGCAAACAGCTGCTTTCTGACTGATGAAGGAGTCCGGCTATTAGGAACACACAGAGGTTGGTTGGCAGCAACTACAGAAGACACAGTGATAGGACAACTGGCAGCAGATAGTCCAGTAGATTCTGACTGTAAAATATTTCCATTTTGGTTAGGCAGGCGACCTCCACCGTTATGCTTTGGAGAACTATTTGTGCTTCCAGGGTTAACTGGTCTCACTGGAAATGGTCCCCAAGTATTAGGAGAGGGTGAAAAGGTTCCTCCAAACTGGGCCATAGGTAAGCGAGGATGCCGGATCTGTTGCATAGTCTGGGCAGCCAACAAAGCAAAATGAGGATGGGAATAAGCTAAAGGAAGAGAAACTGGGAAAGAAGAACGTACATTTGCTGGAACATTCTTATTCAGTTTATTGGGGGGTTGGAAAGTAGATAGTGTTGTTGCCTGTGAAGTTACAAGAGCTGGAGCACCCAATGGAAATGCATTTTTGTTTGAAGCAGCGGTAGTACCTACTCCAGATGAAAAATTTGCATGAATTGATTTGGTGCTGGCAGGGGTTCTGATGTGATTTTTAGGAATTAAGTCTTCTAGTTCCTTAGCAGGATCTTGAATAAGAGCATTAATAAGTTGAACTGCATACCTTGTTGACTCTGTGCCACCTCTGAAAATTTAAAGACAAAATGAGCAGAAAAAAGTTACTCATTAAAGGAAGTTCACTATTAGTCGTAAATCTCCTAAGTCAAACAAAAAAGCCCCTTACCTTGTATAAAGCCGCACCCCCCACAGTTGGTAGTCTTTTTCATAATTACCTTATTGTGATCATTCTTTCACCATTCTTATCTTTCTGTTTATCCACATCAATATGTGCACCGGTGACATCTTGTATTGCAGTGATGTTGCATCCACCTCTTCCCATTATCCTGGACACAACTGAAGCAGGGACAGATAGTTTCTTTGACCTATGCCAGAGATTACAAATCAATTAGAACTCATCAAATTTTTAATATATCCTGTTTTCTTTTTAAACACACTATCTAGTCATATATCAAATAATGAAGGTGAATTCCTAAATGATAAACCTAAAAAAGGGACTTAAATTACAAAGAAAGGTTTTGTTATCTGATTGACTCCAACACACCCAAAAGAATCATAGCCAGAGAAACAAAGACTCTAAGAGCTGGAAGGGACCTTAAGGCCATCTAGTCCCAATACACATCTGAATAAGAATCCTCTCAACACCTGGAGACTTCTTCCAAAAGAAGCAGTCATAGAGGCTTTGCTTGAAGACCTCCAGTCATAGCAGAACATCCTACCTCCAGAGGCAATTAATATTCCACTTCTGGAGAGTTTTGTTTTATCTTTTTGGTTTGTTTAACTAGGCAGGTGATGACCAGGATTTTCTTGGATATAGAGCCCTCTTCCTTAAACAATTCACATTAGCACCTTTCCTGCAAATTGCAAGGTCTTTAAAAGTTGCCTGGGGCACTAGGAGAGTAAGTAACTGCAGGTCTTCCTGACACCAATGCCAGTTATCCATCAGCAGCTTTGTTAGGAAATGTTACTTCAAAGGAAACCTAAATCTGACTCTCTTAGTTCTGCCCCAGAGGCCAAGGAGAACAAGTGACATGTGACAGCTGATCAAATACTTGCAGATGTTTCCTCTAAGTCTTCTCTTCTCCAGGTTAAACATCCAACCTCCTCAACTTCTTCAGGTAAGATCTTGAACAGCTGGTTCACCATTTTCTGGATGCCCTCTAGCTTATCAAAGTCCCTCATAAAATGTGGCTTCATGAACTGAACATTATACTCTAAACATTCTCTGATTAAGGCAGGGTGAGGCAGGACTATAACTTGCCTCATTCTGGACACCATGTCTCTCAGTGTAGCTCAAGGTGCATTAGCTTATCTGCTATATCATGCTATTAACTCATATTGAGCTAGCTGTCCCATAAAACCTCCAGATGTTTTTTGAGACAAACTTCTAAAGAGAAACTTCCCTAATCTTGTACTTAAGAAGCTGATTTTTTGAACCCAGGTGTTAGATTTATTAACATTAAAATTTCACCTTATTAGATTTGGACTGATGGTCTAGACCAGGGCTTCTTAAACTTTTTTCACTCGACCCCTTCAGCATTTCTTAAACTGTGGGTTGACCCCATGTTTCTATGGTTGTTCTGCTGCTCTTCTTTTGATTTGTCTTTTTGATTTATATTGTTGTAGTTATTGTGAATATACTTTTTCTGGTTATGCTTACTTCATGTTTCAACAGTTAATGTCAGTCTTCCATGCTTTTTTAATACCTATCAGAGTCATTATTTCTTATAGCACAAAAATATACTATTATATTTTTTGTACCACAAATGTGTCTAGCCATTCCTCCAGGCTAAGAACCTCTACTTTGTTAACTATAGAATGTGCTGGTAAAACTATTTCAGTGCATAGGGGACCTTTTTTTTTTTTTTAATCTATGATACCAAATTTGTTTCCTTGTATTAGGACCTGTAGTTCACCTTGTTTGCTACCTAGACTTTAGATATTTATGTATAGTTATCTGAGTCTGTGTTTTATTACTGGCTCCATTCTTGGATCTGTCTCCTATGAAATTTTAAGTATCCCTCTTGCTATTCTGCCAATATTGCATTTCTATAGGTTTAGCTTCGTAGGACTAGGTAGATGGTTTTTTCTCTCTTTATTCCTTTTAGGTTTAAGACCTTTAGGTTAAGTTAGCAAAACTCCAGTAAAATATAGTACAATCAAACCCTTGTCAGGTTCATCCCTTCCTTTTCAGCACTCTGTCACTGTTGTTTTTTAAAGTCAAGATTCAGAAATTCAATCTCATCTCCAGATACTGCTTTCTTAACCTAAACAGTGCTTGGCATTGTGTGTTGGGTGACTTAGTTTGCTGACTAGATTTAACTAGTTGTTTACATAGCCAATCTTCTCTTTTCTGATGCCTGTGACATAACTGATAGAACAGATAGAACTACAAGCTGTATCCACAGGATCTTCTTATAAATTATTTCTTCTGGCCATATCATCTGTACCTGCATGAATCACCAAAGGCAGAGAATAGTAATACTGTGTGAAAAGCCTTGGGAACTTCTCTGTCACATCTTGGATGCATGGTTCATGAAAACAGCAGACCTCTCTTGTTATCAGATTGTCCAAGAGGTCTCCATAGGGAGTCACAAAACATCACTACTTATCACCCTTACTGGATGACCATTAATTAACACCACCTGTGGATCCACATCAATATTCCTTAGAGGACAAGGAGCTACTTACACCTCAGAGGATAAAGTGCCTTCATCTTCTAAAAGACCTTCCTATTGGTTAGCTTCATGAGAGGCACTAAGGTGTGCAATGGATAGAGCACTGAATTTGTAGTCAGGAAGATCTGAGTTGAAATTTTGCCTAACATGCCTATAAACTCTGTGATGTGGGCAAGTCACTTAACCTCCTTCAGACCATAAATCTATATGATACTATGAAGTAAATATTCAGTGGTTGTCCACATTCCCTTTTTTCTCTGTGTTATATTCTTCCACACTCCAATTTCATGGGATAAGTCTGGATTCCCTCTCTGCCTCCTCAGATCCTTTTTCTTCATGGTTTTCACACTAACAGTGACGTTATACTGACTTTCAGCTTTTTTATAAGAATACTTAATTCTCCCTGAAAACCTAAAGAGTAGAGAAGCATCCCTTCCTAACTTTTTTAAAAAACAGATTTTTATTGACATATTTTGGTTTGATATCATCCAAATTTCCCACTGCATCCACTTCTCTCCTCCCTCCCAGTCATCCCTTAGGACAAATAATTTTTTTTAAAAGAAAAAGACAAAAAAAAATCAGCAAAACTGATCAATGCATCAAAAAATTCTGATGTCATATGCAATGTTGCACACCCATGGATTCTGACCTCTACAAAGGAGCAGGGGGAGGTGTCGTCTCATATCTCTTCTTTGGGGTCAAGCTTGTTCTTGAGGCATCTAGGTGGCATAGTGGATATAGTGCTGGACTTGGAGTCAGGCATCAAACACTTACTAGCTGTGTGACCCTGGCAAGTCACTTAACCTCTCCCAGCCTCAGTCTCCTTATCTGTAAAATGGGGATAATAATAGCACCTACCTCACAGGGTGATTATGAGGAGCAAATGAGATAACATAGGTAAAGCACTTTGCAAGCCTTAAAGGGCTATATGAATGCTAGCTATTATTATTCTTTATAATTTCGCAACATGCAGTTTTGATTGTTCTGTGGTTGTTGCTCTTTTCATTTACATTGTTTTTGCCACTGTGTTGTTTTCTTGGCTCTGCTACTTCACTTTGCATCAATTCATGGTAGTCTTCTCTTGCTTCTCTGTATTCATCATGTTCATTGTTTCACACAGCAAAATAATAAATAGTCCACTTACATTAAGGTACCACAACTTAACTCTTAAGTGCTGACATAAATAATTTGATATAAAGCCTTTATTTTTGTCAATGAGGTCCTTCTGGGACAAAGGGTATGGATATTTCAGTCACTTTCTTTGCCTAATTCCAAACTGTGTTCCATGATGGTTGTATGAATTCATAGTTCCAGCAACAGTGCATTAGTGGTGACTATTTCTCCACACCCCTCCAACAAGGATTATTCCTGTCCTCTCATCACCTTTGCCAGTTTGCTAGCAAAGCAAAATTCAAGGTTATTCTGATTTTCATTTCTTATTATCAGTAACCTTTCCTATTCTGAAATCCACACAATTAAAATTTCTACCTTATCAAAATTATGGTAGCTATACGTACACTGACTCCTAGGTCATTTTCCTTCCTTTCTCCAGGAGTTCAGCACCTAGCTCACCATCTTTCTCCCTTTCCCAAATACTGCTCTTACTCTAGGAAACTTTAATACCTAAAGAGATGCTGCCTCACACATTTTTAACTCCTTCAATCGACCTCAGCTAAACAGATAGATGGTTACATATGAGATCTTGCCATTAGCTACAAGTGTTCCACTTGCCTATTATAAACTCCATATTCCCCTGACTAAAACCTCCTATCATTCTACTTCTCCCTATGTTTTATCTCTTATACCTATATCCCCAAGTACTTTTTCAGATTGTTTATGCCTGCTCTGAAATTTTATTGTTCCTTCCTTACTAACCTCAACTCAACAGTGGTTTCAACTGTACTGTTTTCTGTGTTCTTGAATTACTTGCCCCACACTTCTGCCCTGTTCTATTGCTGCTCTTTACTTGCTAAACCTCAGCCCTAGATCACTCCCATAATTCACCTCTTCTACTCTTCTCACTCAATGATGAATAAAGCTGGGGAAGTCCCATAACTATGCTGACCTGGTCACTGCAAATTCATGTTATCCAATTTACATTGTGGGCTGTCATACCATAGCAAGGCAGTCCTTTTATTCCTCCCTATTTAACTACCGTATCTCATTTCTCAAAGAAGGTATTTAAAACCTTTTCTTGCCTGTTCAACTCCTTCATGTTTCCTTTACCCCTTTTGTCCCTCTCACCAGAGGACCCTGACTCTTATTGTACTGAAAAAATTGAAGCCAATAGATTTGGCCATTATCTTCTCCTATTCTCTACCTCAAAAACCCTTGACATCATCCTTTTCCCTAGTCCATGACAAAGCAACTCCTTTACATGTACCCTTGGACCCTACCATCTTTCCTTTTTGCCAGCAGAATGCATCTTCCATCATCTCACACCCCCTTTTGAATCTTTAACTTTTTGCTATTTTCTTCAAACCTGCCCAAGTCTTCACTGTTAATTTTTTTCCCCACTAGGCTATATATCTCTTCCCTCAGCCAAACTCTGAAAAAGCTGTCTACTCTTGCCACCTCCATGTTCTCTCCTCTCACTCCTTAACTCTTTGCAATTTGGCTTCTAACATCATCATTCACCAGAAATGGCTCTCTTCAAAGTTACTAATGATCTCTTACAATTGCCAAATCTGAAAGTCTTTTCTTAATATGAACTCTTCTTAACCTATCTGCTGCATGACACTGTTGACTACTTTTCTCCTACATGACATGCTTTCCTCTCTAAGTTTTTATGGCACTACTCTCTCCTGATTAGCTGCCTTCCTACCTGTCTAACTTCTCCTCCTCAGTCTGCCCTGTTGGGTCAACATCTACATCATGTTCCTAGATAGTGGGTGTTTCCCAGGGTTATGTTCTGGACGTTCTCTTCTCTTTCTATACTTTCTGTCTTAGTGACCTTATCAGCTCCCATGGAGTTAACTATCATTTCTATGAATTGACTTCCAGATCTACCTAGTCAGCTTCATCTCTACCAAACTTTAGTCCGAGATACCAAATGCTTACTGGAAATTTCAAACTGGATGTCCCAGAGACACCTTATGTTCAACATGTCTTAAAAGTGAACTCACTATATTTTCCCCTAAACTCCTCTGTCTTCCAAACATCACTATTGTTGTTGAAAGTACCACCATTCTACTTATATCTTAGGCTTGTCATCAGAATTATCCTGACCTCCTCACTTTCCATATAGTTAAGTTTTGCTGTTTCTAGCTTCATAAAATCTACTGTACTCCCTCCCTCCTCTCCACTCCCACAGTTACCTAGTTTTCAGTTCCTCATCACCTTTTGTTTGGGTTATCCCAACAGCCTAATTGGATCACCCTGCTTCATCTCTCATGCCCATCTATTCCACTGCTGGCAAAGTGTTGTTCACTAAGTTCAGA